AAAATGTTTATTTAAAACATTTTTTTAAAACTTTTTAAAATTTTTTTTAAAAATTAAAAAAAAATTTTTTTAATGTTTGTTTATTTCTGAGAGAAACAGAGACAGTGTGTGAGTGGGGGAGGGGCAGGCGGAAAGGGAGACAGAATCCAGAGCAGCCTCCAGTCTCTGAGCAAGCTGTCAGCACAAAGCCTGGCACGGGGCTTGAACTCACAAACTGTGAGATCATGACCTGAGCCGAAGTCGGACACTTAAGCAACTGAGCCACCCAGGCGCCCCTAAATATGTTTTTAAAATGAAATTATTAAGTGTAGGATTATTTGGTAGGGGATTCCATATTCTAAAACAGAAGTGGCATTCAATAAGCTTAGCTCTTCCAATTATTTGGGGTGTCTAAATCAGAAGATGCCTTAAGTAGAATGAAACACAAAATATTGAATTATATATTTTGTGCTGACTGTAAGAAATTCAAAGAGATAATCCCATAGAAGTGGTTTATCACAACATACATTAGTACTGAACTTGAGGGTCTTGGCATTCACTTTTATTAATTTCCTGCTATCATTAATATATATAAAATTTATGTATGGTTAATTATTCTACACTATCGCTTGCGAATTTGGATGCTGACATAAACACTTTTCATTGACTTCACTGAATGGATACAAATATGAGAGTATGTGTTTATGAATTTCTATTTCACTACAATTATCAAGACCTTACAAATCTTCATTGCTTAAGCAACCAAAATTTCATGCCATTACTCCAAATAGTCTCCAAGTAATAGGTGAAGGACAGTAACTATATTATGATTCCTTTCTATACATTTTCACTAACAGTTACCAATAATCTGAAATAATAAATCCTCCGTGTTGAATATAAAAGGGCATATTCTATGAAAAATAAATCTCATAAGTTTGATCTAGAGTACTGTTTCAGTTTTCATTAAATTTTTAGAACTCAGTGAGTTAAGCAGTCATGAAATTAATCCTTTAACAAATATATCAAATCACTACTGATTCATTTGTGCAGCTTAGACTCTCAAATTACTTTGGCTAGTTTTCTAAAAAAACATATGTTGATTTTTCTAGAAAAAAAGATCGATTTCTCCAAGCATTCATAGAGCATCTATAACAGATAAGTTCATAAAAGCAAAACTTTATAAACAAGGTAGGGTTGGTCCATACCTGAGTATAGTCTGAGTTATATGATGTGATTTATCTTTTTATTTTCTGAGCTTGTATTGTTAGAGACTTTTTCACCATGCTGCATATGTTTACATGTATTTGTATAAAACCCAAAGGTAATATTTAGGAGAGTCAGCCTAAGATGCTTGCAGTCCGTCATTCCTACTGTATCCCAAATTTTGCCACTATACCAAGTTAGATCAGGTTGCCTAGATATTTGAATTCAATAAATTTAGCCTCTTGAAAAATTTCCTGCTTACTTACTTTTTAATTCATGTGATTAACTATGTTTGAAGAAATGAGTCTATGAAATTTTTGTAATATTTTGCCGATGACATTGTCCATTAGGCTACTAAATGTCCATATTAAATTACCTTAGTTCAGAAACTTCTTTTAGAACATAATACAAGAAAAAAAAATGCTTCTCCTGTGGAAGTAGAATGCTTTCTGTTTTCTCTCTGCTAGGACAA